AATATCCAAAAGTAGCACTCCACCCCATCCATCTCTTGCAAAAGGTAATGTTGTGGCAAAGTCTAAATCTTTCCACCACCTAAAATACAAAAAGAAGATAGAATCAATCTTATCAAGCCTAAGACCTCACTAATCAATGTTAATGTTGATGATAAGACTGACTTTTGTTAATAAACCTACCTTGTAATACCACTCAACTCCCTCTGATGCACTTTCTGCAATAGATTAAAATCTAATTTAGCAAAGTTGAGTAGTATTTGATTATGCCGGTCATCTTCTTGATAAATTGTCATGTAAGTCCTCGACTCTAGCCTTGTCAAGGCCTTGCGGATGGGCAGCTGTAGGGCATGATTGACTTGTTCTGCAAAGAGATTGTTCAAGTGGGGTAACAAGGACTCGAGGTTGGTAGTAGTAAATACTAGTGCTTCCTCTAGTATGTGACATTCTCTATGCACCATGAGTTGTGTTGCTTCATACAAGCTTAACAACTCTTGAGCGTCTGTGATCAGGGATTCTTCAAATTTCCCTTCCTCCTCGTCTTTGAATTTCTTGAATACATCTGCTTTGCCAAATAGCACCCAACAAACGAAATGAGCCACTAGAAGGGTGTACATATTCTCTATTCGAGCTGACATATGGTTTCAATGCTTCAACAATAATGCCAAGAACACTGTAAATGCTAACTTCGTGTAACCTATACATTGGAAGGGTATCCTTCAGCTTTTGCTTTAATTTATAAAGATTTCGATTAAATTGCTCGTTAAAGAAAATCTATTAGAGAAAAATGAATGATGTTGATCAATGTTATATATAGGAACCTAGAGTATTTCTATGTTCGCAAGCCATGCTTTTTTTTTTTTTGAGCGATGGAGAATTGTCCTAACACCTTAATTCAACATTTCTTTATATAATCTCCAATAGAAATTCAAACCCTTACCCACATTGGAGTTAAAAAAAAAAAAAGGTAAAAAATTTGATTAGGTATAAACCTCTTCAATGAAAAAACACAAATTTAAAGAAAGAGAAACCTAAATTTAAATAAAAACAAATTCAAATTTAGAAGAGGGTAAAATATGACTAAAAGTGACAATTTTAACCCATTACTCATTAATCCATATAACTCGCCCATAAATAAATGAGTTGGGTAATATAATTCATTTTAATTAAACGGGTTAATATGGATTATAAACGGGTACCTATTGTGTTGAATATTTATTTTTTTATTAAATAACATAAGTAATAAAATTAAATATATATATTAATATACCAAAAAATATACACACACTAATATACAAAAACATATACACTAGCACACCAAAAACACACACACTAATGCACCACCTATGACCTGTGGGTTGACCCATGATACTACGATCAACCGATGACCCATTGGTTGACCATGACCTGCAGACCTACCCATGACCCACAATCGACCCCGACCCATTATGTGTGTGTATTTTTTTTTATTAAATGTGTTTTAGTTTTTGTGTTCGTATATGTGTGTATATTTTTGGTGTATTAGTCTGTGTTTTAATGAATTAGTGTGTATTTTTTTAGTGTATTAGTTTGTGTGTGTTTTAGTGCATTAGTGTGTGTATATTTGTATTTTGGTGTACTACTAATGTGTGTGTGTGTTTTGATATACTAATGTGTGTGTATTAAGAATTTTAATTATTTTATGGGTTAATGAGTTTAACCAAACTTGTTATAAACCCAAAGCATCTCCGTCTCCACGCATCGAAACGTCCAATCTTATATTCATCCTCTCTCCAACAATGACATTACCAAATAGAGAAATAAGGTTCAAAAATGCCCTGAATGGAAAGCCGAAGAAGCTACCATATGGAACAAGATATATGTTCTACCTAAAGGAAGGAGCTCACTCATGTTCTCAACCTTCAATCACTACTAGGGCTTGGGGTATAGGGGGCAAATAACGAATCCAGATTTAATTGGGCCAGACTCAATTAATGAGCTAGACCCAAATTAGCTACAAGACAGGTCAAGCTCAATTCATAAATTCGGCCCAGTCCAAAGTTCAAGAAGTTCAGAAGGAGTAGAGCACGTGAGGAGTAATTATCAAGATACTTATTCCTGAAGATCAAGACAACCTTTAATTGTACTTACTTTCTGTAGCTCATCGACTATCTAGTACCTTTATTCTCACGTCACCGTCTCAACTAAGATTCCGTGTCTATAAATTATAAACTCTCTCTACATGAGAGAATATCTTTCTACACACCCCACACATAATTTTTCTCTCTCTTAGCTATGTACCATTATATTGAACAATTATACTTTAATTATGAATAAAATATGAACAATCTATTAATAGATTGAGTAGAGTGTATAAACAAAAGACTTTTTGCTTATATACATGGATAAACAATTTGCATCTTGGATGTGGATAGATCATATTAAATTTGCAACTTGGACCTGTCAAAATCCATTTATGGTATTTTGGATTGGACAAAGAATAAGAAGTATTTAAATCAAAAATCACCTGATGACTTTTTATTACAATCTTTTTCCTTGGCATCGATTGGTTCATAGGCATATTTACCATCATATTGAAGAATCAGATTATGGGAGAGAGGACTCGGGAAGTCTTTTATGTGGGAAAAGATCAAATTTATGTATTATATGGAACGAGCAACATAATAGCGACCAAAAAAAGGTTCCCTCTTTGGTTCCCATAAACAAATCTACTTGATTAACATCCTAAAAAAATTAAATCAATTTATAATTTATACCATGCTGGTTCAAAAAAATTGAAAAACTAGCCTATTTGATTTGTATATCAAAAAACAATATTCAAAAATTGTTTTTGAGAGGAGTTTTAGAAAAAGTATTTTGATGTTTTTTGTGTCGCATAACTTGTTTTGTTATATGCAGAATTTGTTTTATTTTATAATTCTAAAAACAGTTTGACATAATAGAAAATAATAAAACTTGTTTGATCAATAACCTATAAAACAATGACAATATAAATGTGCCGGTGGTGGTGGTTGTGGGAGTATGGTGGTGGTGGAAGTGTGATTATCCTTATTGACAAGCACTTATTACGCTTGGGGTTATTTTTGGGGTTGGTTGGGGGTGGCGTTGGTGCTAGAGAGGATGGTAAAGTCACAATAATTTTTTTTTGTCAATACACGCAAGAGAATACATGTATATTTTGAACAAGTCGTGACCGCTGTGTGGTTATGTTCTTTCATTTTTATTTTTTTTTGGGTCAAAATATGATTTATTATGGTTATTTAGTCCTCCCTAGTGTTTTCAAATCAATAAGGATAATTATTTCCTTGCATTTCCATATTTTAACTTGCTTCCGAAACTTCCTTTTAGAAAATATGCAACCAGCAAACAAATGTGATTTACCAAATCTAATCATGTATTTTTTTATGTTTACATGCAGCTGATACAAATTAAATTCCAACACTCATATTTTGTCTACCATGACACACATATAGATACAAAGTTTATTCATGGGAATAATTATATAAAGGGCGTATGGAAGAGATGAGTTTCACTCTCACACTGACACGTAATTGAGACAAAAATTAAATTCAATGAAATTATTCAGCGGTCAGTGTTAATGATAACTTTTTATTTATAAAGAATCTATTAAAGTTAATTTTTATGCAATGCCGAAAAAATTAATTTTGAGCATAAAACTCAAAAATTGGTTCACACCATCATAAAACTTCATTTGCTTTTTTTCTTGTTTATAATGTAACCTTATGGCTATAAATAAATTATGGTGGTAAATAATAGTTTCATACGAAGCCATAATTAAAATGAATTATAAGTCAACGAACTGCTTTTAATATAAACTATATCTTTTTTGTAAAAAAAAAATCACTTGTTTTTTCCCTACGGTCGTCAAAACCAGGCTGACCGAACATCATTGTAGAAAATTTTAGTTTTCTATAATTTGCGCTCATGAGTCAACCTATAATATAATAAAATCAAAAACCAAAACTTACAAAAAAAAAAAAAAAAAAACTAAACGAATAAAAAATTTACTCCAAAGTCAAAATAATTAGCAAAAAAGACAATTTTTTTAATGGGGAATTGTTTTAGGGATGCAACACAAACTCAGATGCACAAAATGACTCGTAAATTATTCGTATCAGTTAAATTTGGGTTTTGTACTATCAGGAGATTGGAACTTGTTAGTACAAAAAATTAGTATGACGTCAAATATAAACCGAGATAATGGTGATCATTGCACTTCAACAAATTTGTTTTTAGCGACGAATTGATTCGTTACAAAATATTTTCAGCGACAAACTCATTTTGTCACCATTTTATCGTGTTAGGCTTGTCTGGAAAAGTTTTCAGCGACAACAAGTCAATCTGTTGCCAAAAATACACAATAGGATACCATAATTTTGTCGCTAACATGTTCTTATTTCGTTGCCAATGTTTTATTCGTCACCAAAAAATTGATTATTTAACCACATAAAATTTTTAGCAACGATTAGATTCATCGCAAAATGTGAAAACTTCAGCGACCGTCTCTATTTCGTTGCTAAAAATAAGTATAAAAAATATTGGCGACAAATATATTTGTCGCCTAAAAAGACAACTAGCATTTTAGCAATGACTTGTTTTCATCGCCAAAAAAAAATGAATAATGTTTTTGCGACGACTTGTGTTCATCGCCCAAAAAATGAACATGATTAAATCTCATTTGATCCTATAAAAATTTAAAAACACCTATAACAACTCAAAAATATTTCGACCAATTTTAATTATGCATCCATGACAATAGATAATCCATAAAAACACATCACAATTACTAAAACATTCAGACAATACTCAAGATATAAAATAGCATCCAACAATTTTCAATAGCATCAAACAATATCCAAAACTTCTAACAATATCCAAAACTCCTAGCAATATCCAAAATTTTCAACATCCAATATCCTAATATCTAAAATCCCAACAACAAAATATCTCAAATATTTGAAAAAAAATATGTCTTGATATCCAAAAAGAGCTCTTTACAATCCATTGTCAATCTGTAACAACCACATTATAGATAAGAAGTAAAAGAAAAATATATAAATTTTGAGTTTATAGGTTAATAAATTAATATTTGACTAAGTATATAATAATAGCAAAAAAAAAAAAAACATAAGTCTCTAGTTAAAATCGCTTACCAAGATAAAGTTGAATTGCTCGGCTCCCCAATGCCCCCACATGCTGCACTGCTAACCTCATCTATGTCATTTGTTGCATCATCATTTCTCACCACTTCTTTATTTGCTGGAGTTTTTCCTTGGTTTCATGTAGCTTTCTCTTTAGACTTATCACCTCCTTTTCATTTGCAATAGTCTTAGACGTCTTTTTTGAAGAAGGTTTCGGTCCAACCCCATAACCTCTCTTATAGCTAGACTTGCAGCCAAGGATGGTGTATGTAATCTCCTTCTCAGACATATGTGATTCACCATCTTGTGTGGACTTGTCTCTTAATTTCTTCATCTGGTAAAATTTTAAAAAATAGCTGATAAATTGTTCACAAAATGAAACTTATCAACCTTATAAATCTCAAATACAGTAACATCAAGAAAATTTTTATACTTACGTATCGAGACTCAACTTTTTGTGATATCCATTTGTTCGA